CACACACACACACACACACACACACACACACACACACACACACACACACACACACACACACACACACACACACACACACACACACACACACACACACACACACACACACAAACACACACACACATACACACACACACAAACACACACACACACACACACACGCACACATACACACAAACACACACACACACACACACGCACACGCACACACGCACACACACACACACACACACACACACACACACACACACACACACACACACACACACAACCACGTATCACTCACGCAGTCACCCTAACACTTAACTTACGTCCAAGTTTGACGCTCTCTTTCTACATTCTTCCTTTCAGCCATCAACTGTACCGGGTTATACCATCCTACACACGGTAGGGTGACTGCTGTGGGCAGCGACACTGCCTGTACTACCCGGGACGTGGTGAGGGGGACCAGGTGCCGGTACACCTGCACGGACGGGTACGATCCAGTGGATCCGACCGACCGACAGGTGGTGGAGGGGGACATCGTCAGGGAGTGTATGACCACCGGGTCCTGGACGGATAAACGGATAGAATGCTCAGGTAAGTACAACGCGATTTGTACTGTCTGGCCTCCACCAGGCCTTTCTACGGGAATACGGATCGTAGAATTCGGCAAAAAGGATAGCAAAATGGGCCAGGAGAGTCCGGCTGCGGACGGTTGTTTCTTTCCCTCTTTTTCTTTGCGGCCAATCAAACCCCAAGGTGGCCAAACTCCCCTGGCAAATATTCTCCTATATATAGCCAGCGTAGTGAGTCGGGTAGTGACTATGTACTGTCCATCACAGGAGAGATTATTGAACAATACAACTCTTTATATACGGTACCCCTCCAATTCTGGGCAGAAAAATAATGCATCAGCAACATTGCCTCACGGCCTATTTTTTTCGCGTAGCAGTACGTTTTCACCTGTGTGTTTAACGTGTCTGTTTGTTGCTTGTATATACAATACAATATAAGACAAGCAACAGGCACACATAGTGTGTGTGTGTGTGCGCGCGTGTGTGGTGTGTGTGTGTGAGAGAGGGTGGATACACATATATAAAGCAAGACTGCAGAGGCAGAGAGGCAGAGAGGGAGAGCTATACAGAGAGAGTCGACAGATAGGGTAAAGTGAGTGAGATAGAGAGTGAATGATAACCAAAAACGTACATTCTTTGGAAATATCGCTTACTGTGACATAATTGTAGTTACGTCTGACACTATTTTGTCTTTGAAGCGAGGGAATGTCCCGTGCTGACGCTGCCAGACCACGCCCAGGTGTACCCACTCAGCTGCCGGAGCCAGGTGAGGTTGTTTTATGCCAACATTTGATATTTTAATTGCTCATTCTTTCACAAATGTACAACATCAGGGGGAGCAGAACCGCATCCCCCTGAATTAGGACCTGGTACAATTTGTCAGATTTTTCACATCAATGTTGGAAAACAATACATATAAAATAACGTATATACAAAAGACACATAAAATTATTCAAACAAGATATACACAACGTTGCTTGGTCAAGCTATGCAAGGTCCAGTATAGGTTCAAGACCCGGAAGGTAAGTTGTCGTAGAGTTTCATGACAAGACATGGTGACGGCACACTCAAGTTATGTCAACTTATTTAATGTCGCCGCCAACGACAAATACAGGACAGGATAATACTCATTTATTTCACTTTAGTTAAGTGAGGAAAGTCGTGCCTTTCCCTAGGGCACAAGATCGGTGGCATGCCAGGACTCGAACCCGGTACCTCTTGGTTCCGAACGTTCTGTCATAACGCCCCACGACTCTTGATGTATCCAGACCCGGGCCCGTTATCCAGAACCATGCACAGGCACGTACGGTCCTGGATAGTCCACGATTATCTCTTGGTTCCGAGTCAAGCACTGTGCCGTTACGCCACACGACCCAGCCCGTATTTTTTTACACGAAACTTTATTGCATGTTCATTCCCCGGGGGGATAAATGCACGAATGTACAAAGTACAATGCACTAGAGAGTACTACATGTACAACAATAGTAATAAAGAAAGGCTAACATCAGGTCTAAGGTATACAATGCCAAAAAAGAAATATATATACAAAGTGGTATAGATCTAAGTTCTAATGGCTTCTTCTCTCTTTTTGAAACATTTTGAAATATAATTACATACTTCATTGATGACGTCTATATTTGTACATGATATATTAAAAATGTCTTCCTTTGATAATGTTTTACCTTTTTGTCGAGCTTAATTGAAGTGAACAGTGATTTACGTTCGTTATCATATAATATATGCCTGCCAGATTCTATGTGTAGAGGGTGGTCGCTAAATACGGAGTTTACACATGGCCCGGCGGTATTCAAAATTTGGAATGTCTAAATATAGTTCTCTGTCGTATAGTACTTTGAATGTTTTTTTATGCAGGTGAGGTTTGGGAAGCAGTGCACCGTGACGTGTGGAACAAACTACCGGCTGAGGGGGGAGGCAGTCACCACCTGCACCAACGTCGGCTCTCCTGGTAACGTCATCGTAGACTGGAGCACCAAGAACTGGACTTGTGTCGAAGGTATTTGTGACGCAATATTCTCTATCATCATCATCATCATCTGGTCGTGATGAGCGAACCATTTAGTCAGTTAAAGCTTGCCTAAGCTTTANGTTTCTGATTTAGGGGAGAAGACATCTAGTCGTCTACGCGAGC